CTCTCTCTCTGTCAGATCTGAAGGAAGATCCTTGTGGTGCATCAGTCCTCCCTTCGTCTGGGAGCTTCTCTGCACAGGAACCTCAGGTCCAAAAGATGCGCTCTGCTCCTGGCACTGCTTTCTTGGTGGTACGAGGTCCTCAACTCTCTGCTTGCTTGTCTTTCCTTTTATCTCTTGAGAGACAAAAAGTGGTGCAGGCCACATCCCAGGGAAACTCCCTTTACATTGGATCAGGGATGTGACCTGGGTAAGGGTGATGTTACAACCCCACCCTAATCCTCTTTAACATAAAATCACAATCACAAAATGGAGGCCAACCACACAGTACTGGGAATCATGCCCTAGCCAAATTGATACACACATTTTTTGGGGGGACATTATTCAATCTGTGACACTAGGGGAAGCTGGATGAAGAGTATGATAGGACCCTCTGTATTATTTTTGCAACTTCTTGTGAGTTTATAATTATTTCAAAATTTAAAAATTAAAAAAAAAGCTTATTGTAAGGATTACATAAGATAATGTGCCTAGCACAGTGGTTGGACACACAATTGGCATTTCAATGTATGATAATTCCTCTCCTCCTCATGATCAGAGTTTCTGTTTTCCTGTTGTTGTTATTTTCCTAGTTTTATAATAATTGCCTCCCAGTGTGCTATCACAGTATAGGGAGAGCAACTAGGGTCACATAACAATATACGTATACATGTTTGTATGACAGACTAACTTAAATTGTAAACTTGCACTTAATGTACAACAATTTTAAAAAAATTGCCTCCCTTTGTTGTGCTTACTATGTACCAGGCCTACTTTACATGCATTATCTCACTGAATGAAGCCTATAAAGTAAAGTGGGCACCTTTATTATTCTCATTTTGTAGATAAGAACACTTAGGCTCAGCTACTCCACTTATTAGAAAGTGACCAAGCCAGGATATACATGCAAGCAGCCTAATGTTCGAGACCTGATCACTCCCTCCCCTTCAGTGTTCAGCTCAGTACGTTTTGCCCAGAATTTGCAAATCATTTACCCCAACTCTCTCAGTTTATGAGCATGGAAACTGAAGCTGGGGGCGGGGAGGGAGGAGGAGAAGTGTTGCTCAATGACAGTCCTGTCTTTGGACTGTGAGGCCAGGTTTTTTCCAGCGCCCATAACTGGGCTAATCACCCACACAACACACCTCCACTGGGCCCTGTCTGGGAGGTGGCTGGTGCCCACCAGGGGGCCTGGGTTCCCACTCACGCCCCTCACCAACCTACCAAGCTTAGGGCCACCAGAGCCCAGGAGATAGAAGTGTGTGTAGTAGGAGATGGAAGTATGTGGGGTGTGGGGAGGGTGGAGGCATGGTGGCCTTCTATTGTAGGCAGCCCTAGGAGCCAGGATAGTTGGGGTCACAGAGCAGGGAAGAGCAGACGCTTTGAATTTTGGTAGGGAGGGCATGCCAAGTCAGTGCTTCCCATCCTCCTCAGTCTCCCTTGAGTGACTTTCTCTTAAGGTTGAGGCACATTCTTGAAGGGGGGTGGTGGTGGTCATAGAGGTTACTTGCCCTCTCAGGCCGCCGGCCAGTTTCTATTCCTCCTGGAACTGAAACTAACCTCCCTCTCAGACTATGTAATGACTCACTCCTCTAACTCCTGACCTGGGGCCTCCTTGGACTTGAAGCAAGTCTAAGTCCAGACTACAGGTTGATGGGGAGGACTGGCCTGGGTCCCATCTCTCAGGTCCCTGGTATCCAGTGGGGGTTTGACCCACATTCAGATAAGCCCGATTCGTTCTCCCTTCCCCATCCCCCCATTGTGCCCCCACCTCCTCATTTGGCCAATCCTTGGCAGGCCACAGCAAGGTGGAGAATCAAGGACACTTCCCTGCCATCTCGCCATCTTGGTGCCCTGGCGGGTCTGCTCCTCGATAAGGGCTGCAGCTTAGCCCAAGGGAGGGGCCCCAGCAATCTGGTCCTCAGGGAGGAGCACCCTCGTGTGGTCTCCAGGAGAAGTGCAGCTCCCTTCCCACTCCCACCCCCGCCTCTTCTGTGCGCTCATTGAACAGGTATTTATTGAGCGCCACTAAGTGCCAGGCACTGCTCTAGGGTCAGTGGTGAAGAAGACAGATAAGATACCTGCTCTGTAGACAGTATATTTCTGTGTGTGTGTGTGTGTGTGTGTGTGTGTGTGTGTGTGTGTGTGGAGGGGGCAGGCAATAAAGGATAAATAAATAAATGAGGTCGTTACTAGTAGTGACAACTGTTGTTGTTAGTTCCCTTGGCATCCATTCCGACTCACGGTGACCCCAAGTATGTCAGAGTAACTAGGAATAAAATAAAACAGAGAAATGCGATGGACAGTGACTCATGGGAGGAACTTAGAAGAGAACGGAAAAGGAAAGTTTTCTTGAGTAGGTGACCTCTGAAATGAGACCTTGGTGAAAGGGAGCCAGTCATATGAGGATCTGGGGCAAAAGCATTCATGGTAAACGAAAAGGTTACTGCAAAGACCCTCAGGCAGGAACAGTCAGTGTGGCTAGAAAGGAGTGAGCAAGGGAGAATTGTATGAGATGTGATTAGAGAGGTGGGCTGGGGCCAGACTATGGATTCTGTAGGCCCTGACAAGAGATTGACATTTCTTCTAGTTGTTAGTTGACTCGAGCAGGTTCCGACCCATGGCAACCCCATGTGTTGCAGAGTAGAACTGCTCCACAGAGGTTTCTTGGCTGTAATCTTTTTTCTTTCTTCAAGTTAAAACAGAGAGTTTTATTAAGGGTTTAAAGCTCTCACAATTGGGAAACTACAGAGCCTATTTAAAATGAAACCAGGTAGTATGGGGCGGTTTTGTTATACAAGTATTCTTATGGCATAAAAAGAGAAACCAAATCATAGGGAGGGCAACTGCAAAAATCAATGACTATTGTAATAATCACACTCTGGTTGGTTACTGATTATTCATAATTGTAGTTAGTGATTACAGATAATTTCACAGGATGCTTAGATAATGGCCACAAGATGCTTACATGTATTTTGTCTATATTGCAAAAATATCTTGTTGGCAATAGCACCCAGACAGCACTATTCCTGAGTATGTGCATTTTCAGGGGTTGTAATGAATTGAATTATGTCCCCCCAAAAAATGTGTGTATCAATTTGGCTGGGCCATGATTCCCAGTATTATGTGGTTATCCTCCACTTTGTGATTGTAATTGTATGTTAAAGAGGATTAAGGTGGGATTGTAACACCCTTACTAAGGTCACATCCTTGATCCAATATAAAGGGCATTTCCCTGGGGTGTGGCCTGCACCACCTTTTATCTTTTTTTTTTTTTTACATTTCTTTTTTTGTTTGTTTGTTTTTTGTTGTAGTTTAAATGAAGTTCACATTTCAAGTTAGTCTCCCATACAAGAATTTACACACACGTTGCCATGTAACCCCAATTGCTCTCCCCATCCTGTGACAGCACACTCCTCCTTTCCACCCCTGATTCCCCATGTCCATTCAACCAACTCCTAACACTTTCTGCCTTCCCATCTCACCTCCGGCCAGAAGCTGCCTGTTTAGTCTCTTGTATCTACTTGAGCTAAGAGGAACACTCCTCACGAGTATCACTTTATGTCCCACAGTCCAGTCCAATCCCTGTCTGAAGAGTTGGC